CCCCTACTGATCTGTGTTCGCAGTATAACATATCTCATCTCTGAACAGTGACAAAACTGGCCCTGATATTTATCTACAGTTGTGATTCAAACGCTATTCTGCTTTTATATTCGATATTTGCTTATTGAGAGTGATTTCGTTTAACTCAACAAGGGTTCATATTATTTTATTACTTAAGTAATAGTCTCTGTTGTTTTTGTAATTGACATATTCACGGTTTAGTTACATCTGGTTTCTGAATTTTAAGCTGGTGGTACAGCTCATTTCTTAAAAATGCTTGTGTATATTGTATACTACTCAAACTTATATTATATAAAATAAGTGATACATTTTGTACAGAACTATTTTTTTCTGATTATATAAGTCATTGTACGTCATTAACTTGACAACTAGGTCGTATGGACTGCTATAAGTGGACTCGAGCATTATTGGACATCACAAAGAGTTCCGTTTGATGTCAGGACTGTGCTAAGCTTTTCAAGGTTACCATTCGAAACCTCTTTTTGCATACTAAATTACATACACCTGTGACTCCTTGTGGGGGGGCATATGCTACCCACCAGAATTCTTCATCCAACTCTATCCTGCGCAATCATTTCCAGTTCTTTCCAACTGCTATTCATCCCTTTTATGTCTGCTTTCAAGTCCTGATGCAGTGTATTCTTTGGTCTTCTTTTCTGTTTCCCTTCAGGATTTCAAGTTAGTCCTTGCCTCATGATGCACTTTGATGATTTTCACAATTTATGTCATATCCAAAGTTTAGTTACAGGAAATGAGGATTTCAGCGTACACACACGTCATCGAGTACAGATGCTAGACCGAAGATTCCAGAAAAACTAACGGGGACAGCTTTGAAGTTTATTTATTTATGAGGTTTACCGACCACTATATATGCAATTTATTTTGTTCATCTACCATCCATCACAACTAATGCTTCCTGTTAAAAATATCCCTACAATATGGTTAGTATCCATCAGTCTACTTAGTGAAAACGAAGAAAATCATTGACCAAACTATAAATAATGGACAAACCAATGAGATTTGAGACAGAAAGTCTTGGATTCCGGCTCGAAATTAATGCATTCATATGGCTAAATAGCGTTTCATCATGATACTTGACGTAAGTTTGCGATGAAAACCCTAAATTTAATTCATGGTCACAATTCGCCACACTGATTCATAACCTCCCTTTGACCTTAGAAATCAAGTGAATCTTCTCACGGTCAACTCAGTCTCGCTTAAAAGTCGTCCATAAATTATAGTCTCACCTCTAAATTTGTTTTTTGTCAACTAATCTTCAACTAGAGATAAGACTAAAATTTACGGACGACTCTTGACGCCGCTATAATGACCTTGAATTGTTCACCTACTTACCAGTGTTAAACGAGGGATATACATCAGGAGTCAGCATTAGGACTCCCTGTTGAATGTTAGAGTTAGGAATTAGATTTATTACTTTCATTAAGAAATGACATAAGCTAAAATGCCAAAATGCTATTTGGCCAAATGAGCGAATGAATTTCGCGCCCAAATACAATACCTGCAATCTTAAACGTGATTGGCTCGACCATAAATTATACTCTCGCCGTTTACTCAACGACGGTCAGTGGATTCATATGAATTTCTAACATATTCTAAAGACTTTAATTGTATGATTTACATATGTACTGAAGTGTAGTGAATTCCAACAGATCTTGGAATCTAAAGCATAAAGAAGAACTCAGCATCTTATCAAAACAATAAATTAAAGAGACTTGAATAAAAAAGGAGAGATATTGAATTTACGGGCTATGAAACATGTTTTGGGTTTCTTATTATGGCTTGGACATTGACAGTTGATTATTTCTACTAATATTCTCCTGTAGAGTCGGTTGTTATGTTAAGCCCACATAACTTATTCTACCTTCTGGACGGGCCAATTTACCCATTCATTTTGAGTCACGTTCTAACCTTAGTAATTATTCCATTATCAACCGCGACTGTTTTCATATGATCGCAGGTGTGTACATCTTAACCTACTCACCACACGTCCGTAACTTATCTTTGTGTGACTATAGATATTGACTAACGCTTGATTAAATGGAGTTGACTCACATACATCCACTGTACATTCTTTTGCTCGCTTCGCTCTCTTCTTCGCTGCGATTCTTTGTTCCGATAAACGAGTGTACAAAATATACTTATTGAAACATCCATTCTCGTATATGACTTATTTAATTCTGTTGTTCACTAACGCAAGTTAAGTTGATAATTTTATTCAAAGATAGCCAAGATGTATGTTTCGACAGCAATCATTCATATGATCTAATTGTTGTCAGGTTTAGGGCCACTAAACTCCTATACTAGCTACTTGTTGAAATCACTTTTATAACCTTAAGTTGTCTATCTGGGTGTCCTACTACAAGCGAAAACAAATTTTTACACTTCAGAATATGACGTCAAGACCTGATAAAAAATGTTGAGGTTACCAATCAATAAAAAACTCATTCTTCACAGTACTTTTATCTTTGTAAAACTCTCGTTAAAAACATCTATGTATCTTGCTTACTTACTCGCAACTAATGACTACTGAATAACTGAACCTAAAAGACACTGGGAGTTTTAACAGCTGATTGCTTCGAACAAGAAACCATTTACCTGCCCTACGCAAACTGGATACCAAAAACTGATTTGAGCTTCTAAAATACGCCACGGATTTCAGTCAAAAATACACATATTCAAAATGATTTCACATATAACGATTAGCGGACAAAACAAAAAGAATACCATACTAAATAAATCTTACACTGAAATAATAACATGACACGCCGAAAACTTAAACATTAAAACAAAAGGATAGATGTTAAACTGCGCACTGACTACATTAGATTAGAAATAATAATGGAGAGCAAGCCACACGAAGTCAAGACATATTTTAATACATACTTCCTCTTGGAAAGTCGATTTCTCTCATCCCAATTCCCTGTTCTAAAAAACATTTTAAGAATCTTAGTTAGTGGCCAACTTATTAGAAATAAATGAATGAGTCACTGGTTTGACATAATTTTTTTAATCTCATAAATAAAAGTGTTGGTCATTGAAAACCTTTCCAAATGTTACTCATATTTCTTTTTTTCAGCATGGAGCTATGAGTTCGTCTCACTACCTAATGCCTCATATCAAATATTTATCCTCAACAAGATCCCAGTTGTACCAGATGTTTAATTTGTGAAACAACAGCTAAGACCTAATCAATCATAGAACGACATTTAGAGTGCGACAGTCCGACTGACAATTATAAACTATAGGACTGTAAATTAACAAGCAATGGCAACATTACTTCTGACACACCACTTCAACCCATCACACGACATTGTTGTAAAATTCTACATGAACAATGAATGTAACTTAAACAATGCAATTAAATTTGTCAGCAGCACTGATATTGCAGCAACACAGATAGTTGGAAGTTTAGTGAGACACTATTTCTTCAAAAATACGGTAACTAATACTAAATTCAACCACACCTCGCAAAAATAATTGGGAATTCACATCTAGTATATTCAACCATATCTCAGAGTTCTAGGTTAGTAACCATCCCAATTGTACTGTTAACCACTTAACAAAACATTATTAACGAAACTATATTGATTTGCATGTAGTTCTAAATTCAAACAATTAAGTGACAAATTCCATCTGATTTGTGTAATCATTACTCCATCAAATACCGAACATTTCAGCAATTAATCATTTTAGCACTGATTAAGTTGGTTTGCTAATTTTAGTGTCATCTCCAATCTAGGCAAAAACTATGGGAATTAGACTAGAACGTCGTTCACCTTAGTTTTTATTTATGTTGATATACTAATCTGCTCAGCTGTTGCCAAATACTGAAGTGGATTTAGATACTACAGGGAAACTTTTGAACTCTGTATATATCGTGTGTTGTACGGCTGGTCACTGGTTCCGGTTCCATTGCAACGATTTCCAAACGTCAAATGTTTGTATAATATTAATGACCTAATGTTTATGAGCATTTTCATTATTTCTTCAAACTATTCATGCACATTTTAGCAGTCCTGAACTACTTACTGAGTTAATGCACAAATATATAGTGCTTCCACAAGCCTGGTATTCAAAAGATCATGCTTCATAAATAAGAATGCATTAAACGCTGGGAACAATCAGTATCATGATGACTTCTGAATAAACCAACTACTTTTAAATATACATCAGAACAGTAATTACTCAGCAGGCATCAATAAACCTTTAAATTTTTTACCGGTATATTTGGTATCGCACAGACACTATCATTTTCTTCATATGTTTGGAAGCAAAAAAAGTAGTCTGCACTGAGGGTTTTTGGGGGGAAACACCACCACAAATGTAGTAGCCAACAATGCTAGGAAACAAAAATCACTTGTGACTAGAAAGAAAAAAAGACACATCGAACAATACTTGACACTGAAAGTAAACTGATACAAATTTAACACTTCTATACATCCACATTCATCAAAGCAATAATAATATTTATTTTTCACAATCATGTAAGGCTTCTTACCATCACAGAAGAAAAATTAGAAATCTTACGTGTTTGACGATTATTGACAAAGGAAAATAGGAATAACTAGAAGTTTTAGAACATAAAACATTTCTGCGTAGTTTGCTTGGCATAAAAAATAAGGAGACAGAAGGACAGAACAAAAATTAATATTGCGATTCGTTGTATCATTTAACAAATTATGATCTACTACTGTCAGTATCGAATTGATGCACAAAAATACTAACGTGATACTGATAAGGTTAGCAAAAATATTTAACTCATTTAACACTTTAATTGACCAGGAGTAGTATAAACAAGTACAAAAATCATCTCTAAAAAATGTGTGGATGAACATTCAGAAAAACGAAGGATGTAGTCACGACTCCAGTTTCTAATACCCGCAAATATACATTGGCCATTTAATGGAAATAGTTTGCTTTGTTTAAAGAATTAGTGATAACCAGTTTAAATTTGTTCACTAATAGAATCGCTTCATTTGCCTTTGACGCTTCTTATAATATTTATAGCCCATATATCCACCACCACTAATAAATCCAAATACGAATAACCAAGAAAATAATGTAAGTACGCGGCTGAATCTCGATGGTGGAGTATCATCGACTCGAGCTAAAAAAAAGAAAATTTACATAAATATCTACAAAAAACGATAACTGAATAACACTTATTACCGGGAAGTGTTGCTTCGAATGCAGAATCCTTAAATTAATCCAATCATCATTCGACTAATGGTAGTATGTATATTCACTATACTCTGGTGTTTTTGAGTATAAAATTACAGTTTAACTACAAAGTGCTCAATTAAGCCAGCCACATTATAAAGACTGTGACTGGGAATGTTAATCAGGATTAACCCCTAATCTAAAAATAGTTACTGATTTTAGACTTCAGAGGATCATCAGTGACCAGTCATAAACAGCTAAATTTGTACGTGGATCAACCGTAAAAATGAATATGCATGCAACCCTGGTAGTTGTTGTTATGTACATAAATGCTAACCAATATGACTGAAATCCAAAACTTAAAGTGGAGGAAGACTGTAATCACACATTTTACCTAAATAATCCAATGAGAAGACGAAAGTCATCAAAATTATGTGATATATTTACGTAATACATCATTTATCAACCCATAGTACTTCAAATCATAAAGATTTAAATGCTTTTGATTCTTTATCTACCAAGCACAACAGTTCAGTACTTCATTATCTCTCTAAAGTTTAATTTCGATAAAAAAACGATAAAGGATTATAAACAAGTCATTTGTACACAGATATAATCCAATTATGTATGAGAATTCAGTTAATTAGAAAATATTTCTTATTATAATTGACATCAACTAGAAAACCACTGATGAAATTAGAGATGAAGAGGTAGTTATTCAGATTTAGTTTTAAATACATTACTATAGGGCGTAAGCATTAAAGAGAGGCACTTGAAGTGACTGAGAAATTCTCACTTTTGTCAGCTGGTCAGGAAGTAACAGATAAGGACGAATGATTTATAATGCAATATGTCCTCAATTCAACGAAGAAAGGATAAGGTCGGATCCTAAATCCGGATTTGGGATTAGAGTATAAACAGATTAACTATAAGAACTAATCTTTACCTTAAGTATTTGCTGATATTTCCGTTTATAAAAGCTTGCACGTTTGATAGACAACATTTTGGTTTGATATATCCACTATAATTGGCGCGCCCTTTGGTTTAATGTTTATCTTAGTGAAACCTTGAAATAACTAACAAACCTGAAGGCCGTGTGCTGGATCTCATAAGAACAAGGGAGGGTAGTAACTAATGCGTCTCAAAATGAGGATAAAATGAATATCACTGCTCTGAAAGTGCAACACTTTTCAAATTATTATCAATTTATGATAAATGCAACATTATTTACACAATTCACTTCAAATCAACTAATTTAAAAACACAAATACTACCAGCAAATTACATTAATTTTTGCATACATTATTCAATAGGTGAATGCCGTATTGTGTATAAAAACATGTTCATTAAGATATTGTCAGTTAAAGACTATCTACTAAAATAAAGTCAGTCAGTCAGTGACAACGTAGAACTTCGTACGTACGTACATCAGTTCGAGTTGACATACCACATTAACACAGATACAATTGTCGATTCAGATCCCGTAATGGTAGAGGTAATATGAGTACAAGCATTAGTCAGAGAGATTAGAGTTTGAAGATGTTATTCAAGGAGTACAAACCCGTGAAGTAAATTTGGAAAAATAAAAAAAGGACATGAAGAATTCAGAAGATTAGAATTTGGGTGAACACAAAGAGTGGATGCACCTGTGCCACTGCAAACGATTTTGAGCCATATCATTCAAGGTCTCTAACCATCGGTTGCTATTGTCTCGCGGATCTCAACCACGTAGTCTACACCTACCAACATGGCTCGGTCCACTTGTCAGTGACTTCATGGATTTGTGTCACGTTTTGGTCTGGCCGCCCCTAGCTTTTACCCAACCTACTCCTATACCATGAAGCATCGCTCGTCGGGGCAGTTGGTGGTTGGGCATACGTAACACATGTCCCAGCCATCTCAACTGATGAAGTTTCACTACTTCATCAATCGATTTCCCATCCTTACCTATTACCTGTTTCCTAACAACTGCCTTACTCGGTGGTCCCAAGATATACGAGCAATGCTTCGAAGACACTAGTGGTGTAAGAAAAAATGTTTGGCGAAAACTTCACTAAACAGGAAAATTAAAACCATAGAATTGTGTTAGATATTTCAAAGTTGTGCATTAATTTGGAGTCAATCAGATACCCTTGACTTCATTGGTTTGAACTAACATAAAAATGTTTCGTATGTACTGGTGACGAAACTTAATATTAATAATGTAGTCAGAGAAACTAAACGATGCAGCATAAAGCTGTGTCTGGTCAATCTCAAGGACAACATTTGCTTAGTATTCTTTATATAGTACATGATCAATATAAATTACAATAAAGTATCCCACCATGTATGCATTTTAAAAATCATTCTACATAAATCTGAACAATTTCAAGTTGTGATTGGAAATCTCTGCAATTTGCACATTACATCGATTGCTGGGGATAAATAATCACTACAAAAGATTTTCTGCATGCTATTTACTACACTGTCAGAATTCCGAAAAGTCTAGAAGTATTAACTTTTAAATTTATGTTGTTGTGAGATAAGATATCATAACAAAGACAGAGACAAGAGAAAACAGATAGTAGCTTCTTGAAAACCAACTAAACAAACCAAGCAATTTTCAAGTTTTCATTTTTTTTCCAAACTATGTAGGTTAAAGAATATATTTAAATCCACTTTTAGAAGTAGGCCATTTGATAATTGAGTTTAATTCTCAAGTTGTTTTGCGTTTCGGTGTTCTTAAGGTGAGAAGTATTACTAGATAGTAAAGATTTAGATCAAAATATCAACCCATTACTTGCTATTGTAATCGTCTGAAGTAAATTCTTATAAGATTAGAGTATTTTATTGGAGCTGAGATCATACACCTATTCCGAGTTCCGAATACAGAAGGAAAACAATAAAGAAAGTTAATAACTGATGAAAATTCGGTTTCTGCGTTTATAGCCCTACAATAATAATATAAAAAAGCGTTGGCAACGAAAATGATATTCAGAAATTGATATTGACACACCTCTTGGTGCAGCCTCCTGATCAGCTGATGGTTCAATTTTAGAAAAGTCAGCGAACGGATCGTCCTGTAAAAGAAACAAATATCAAGGTTAGTAGTAAGGACAAGTACATGTTCACAGTAAACAACTGAAAAGTTATTTAATACAACTTACAAATAAAACCAATTCCCATAAAATCACTTTATCTAAACTATTTCTATGAACTAAACATCCCCATGATGTAAATTAAAACGATAAATCTGAGCGAAAAATGTTTTATACAGGATTTGCTCTGTATACAGTGATGTATTTTCACATGAAAACGATTAAACCAGTTAAGGCAATTTATAGGTCAATTATATTAATGGAACAGATTACGTGGCCAATAATAATCAGTAAAATGTACAAATTTGTAGTAAAATGACATGTGTACTAATCTTGACGAGAATAATAACAACGTAAATGAATGATTCAAATAAGAAGTAGGTCAGAACAAATAAAAATCAATGGCAAGTTCGATGCGCAATATCACATATTGATTGGAGTTAGATAAATAAACCATTGGATGCTGGCTCAATGGTTCAAATTTTGAGCACTTGCTGCCAGATTTAAATTTTTTAGGTTTCATCCCTATGCGATCGTAGATGCACTACCATGAGAAGTTCATACTAAGTCAGAATAGCTATCCAGTGGTTTCTGGTTCTCAGTGATTGCCTAACCAAGGCTAGTTCCGGATATGTTGCCTCACCACATGAGCACAAGACTAAATTGACAAGACGAATCGCAGAGTAGTAGAAGTAGTCAGATTACCAATTTCAATAGAAAAGGCCATCCATAGATGACATGATCCCCAAAAATAGACGAATCAGTGGACTTAAAAAAGTATAAAACAATTTCTAAACTCAGGATCCAAGGGAATTCAAAGAGTAAATGCATCTGCGACAATGCGACCAGTTTTTAGCCATATAACCCATTGTCCCCGACCATTGATTAAGATAACCACATGAACCCCAGTCAGGTAAACTGAACCTACCAACACGGTTCGACTGAACTCTCAGTGACTTCATGGACTGATACATACGTTTTGTTTCGGCCACCCCTCGCTTTTTCCAAACCTAATCTCACATCAGCCAACATCGCACATCGAGGTATATGGTAAATGAGAATATTTAACACGTGTACTAAATATTTCAACTGATGAAGATTCGCTACCTCATTAAGCGATTCGTCAATATTACAGTATGCCTTGAGTCAAACCTCAGCGCTACCCACTCAGTGGTCTCAAAATATGTGTAGAATGATTCGGAAATGTCTAATCGGGAACCAGTAATCTTTAAATGTCCTCTATTTTCAACAGTTAGATTTCACAACCATAAAATAGAACACGGCGAACCACTACGACGTAATTTCGTCCCTTTTTGTGAAACGGACATCTCGCCTACACCACAAGTAATCCAGGTTGGCAAAAGTCAGACGAGCTCTTCGAATTGTGAAGAAATTTTATCAGACACGAAACCAATAAGACCGATGAGACCTTTAAGATAAACGAAGAGGGTAACTCTCAACTGCTTCACCTCTTATCACCGGTAATGGAGTCGACTCAGGCTAGTCCTAAAGCAACATTCAACACAATAGTCATTGAAAATTATCAATAAATAAAAAAACAACAAGAACAAGTATATATATATATATATATATATATATATATATATATATATATATATATATATATATATATATAGTGAAGTAGAGATAGGTAAAGGATGAATAACAAAAACCAAACAAACGGTATAAAAAATTGGTAACATCGTCCATCAAGTTTTATGGAGCTAAGAAAGAGGCAAGTGTTACGAATCTCTCCTGAACGCAGACTAGAGCTATGAGCTCGGAATCCTATGACTTTTCATGTGTAAGTGACAAGATCAAACTCTGTTGTGAAACTTCGAATATAGAATATACCACTTGGAATTATTTATTTTTATCTACCACATGGCTACTATTAACCAAGTATGATGAAATGGAGCTACAAAATTTCCGTTTCACCCCTTATCAACCACACAAAAAAACGTCCATTCACTCCTTGATTGAGTTGCGTGTTGTCAAGTGTTCTTCACAGGAGCAGCTGATATATTCGCATCGTGGACTTGTGAGGACGAGTGTGACAATAATTATAATATCTACTTTGACCTACTTCTTATATTGAATCATCTATTTACGACGTTATTATTCTTACCACGATAAGCACACGTCATCTTACTACAGATTTTTAACACACGTTCTCTTAGATACGGAGAACTAATAAGCAGAAAGACAGAGTAAATTTCCAGTTTATTGACCATTATTCCATTTGATAAAAGGAAGTATATAAAATGAAAACAAAATTCAACTACTGTATTTTGTACCATGTACAAGAGGTTAATTATTACGAAAAGTGTAATTCATAAATTTACGTGAAACAATATAAGATCATACAAGACTACACAAATTGAAACATCATAACACAAAACCTGCTGTTAAGCACAATACGATATGATGCATTACTCATTAAAAAGAACCACTCACACAAAATAAATTTTGTCAAGCACAAAAACAATAAAGAGTGTGCGATGGAGAAAGATAATTTGAAGACAGAATTTCTCATGTGTAGGCTAATATTATTTTAAAGAAATATAGTTGTGCAATTGAAATTTACGGAAGGGTGTTTGTGTTTATTTTAGTCTCGGAATGAGTTTTTGATACTTTCTACTCACAAATTATAATTTTAAGGCAATTAAGTGATCATCTTACTTCACTGTATAATACACATTGATTTTAACTTGAAAAAGGCAATGATCATATCTGTGTTTTTGTATATTCCATTTGAAGAATTTATTTTATATCATTATTTGTAATCATTACTTGAAAAATGATGCAATAAACGTTATGTGATTGAGTACCAATCAGATTTAAATTAGTCATATTAGAAATAGAAAATTTTATCAGAAACATTTCAAAACCAGTCAGAGATAACCAATGTATTCAAGGGCATACGTACTTTGGCCTAGGTCCCTATTTGTCATCACTACATAGGAAAAATTAACAAAATGAGTGGCGAAAGAGTCCTGATAACAGTAGCATCAATGAGAAAGACTAAATTCTGATGGATATGGTTCAAAAGAAAACAAGTAGCAAAGTATATACAAAGGAACACTGAAACTCTAGGCCAAACGGAAAATGAAGAGTGAAGAAACTTATGGCACTGAGACCGATTGTGAGTCATGTTATCCAAAATCTTCATCCAGTGATCGGATTCAATAAACAAACACAAAGCAGATAGTATTCGGCAACATTTAACATAGCTTAGTTCAGCAATCAATGGGTTTATGGACTGGCGCGACGTCTTGATTTAGCCACTTAGTTTTTTTGCAACCCACTCCTACGCTGTCCAGCATTATGCATAGAGGTAGGCGATTGTTGGACATACGTCACATGTTCTAGCCATCTAATTCGATGAAGATTCACACCCTAATCAACTGGTTTGCCATGCTTTCCTAGTACTCAACATTTAACCCAGTCATTCCTCATTCCGTTGTTTCCCTATACATGATGAGTGTTTTTGTTAGGTTCGTTAACCTTGAGGATACTACTGATTCGACTTATTCGGAACGGGACGAATGCTCAGGATTCAGAGACTCAATAGACTATTCTGGTTCGTTGTCTTCGACTCAGCTAACTCGATCAAGAAGGCTTGGTAAGGCGTAGAAAGTGTATTCTACAAGCAACAGAAGATACCAAGTCAGGCAGGTAGATCAGATCAAGCATATAAGTCAAGAGTATTTATGCAATTATTTACAATCGATATTGTCATAGAAAATTTTTAAACATTAATCAATGAGTTCATTAATTGACCTATTTGCGCATTTAATCGATAGTTCATCAATTGACCTATTTGCGCATTTAATCGATAGTTCATCAATTGACTGCTATTCAAACATTTAATCGATCAGTTCATCAATTGACCCCAATACAAATATTTAAACATTTAATCAATAAGTTGATCGATGCGATAAAATTTAAAATATGAGTTTGGGGATCTATCGTCCCCAACACTCCTCCCCTTTTTAATAGCGGGCCTTCCTGGGGTCAACCTGCATCTTGACTGTAGCTCGCCGTTCTCTTATAGGCCATCGTCTGGGACGTGTTTCAGCTTGCTGTTGGGGTTTTTCTTGTGATAGGGTTGCCGGTAAGTTGAAAGTATCAAGCAAGATGTCGAGAGGAAGATTTAGTCCTGTTGATATGTCTGGGGCTATCCGCTTACGTAGTTGATTTCGGTGTCTAGTCCATGTGTCTCTTCCCACCTTTACATTGTACATAACTTGGCCCAGTCTTCCAACCACACGTGCTTCGATCCAAGGACCATGATTTGCTCTGTAGTCTCGAGCGAACACAGGGCATCCAACCTCGTACGCTGGTAGCTTCTGAGATTTGGTCTGAGATGGTGGTGGTGTGGTTCTTGGGCACATGAGACTGTGGATCGTCCTCAATTTCCTTCCCATCAGGATCTCTGCCGGGGACTTCTGCTGTGGTAGCATATCACTAGGTGTTGTTCGGTAAACAAACAAGAAATTCTGCAGTGTTTCTACTGGCGTCCCTTCCCCTTTCGACTTCATTAGAGCTCTCTTGAATGTATCCACAAATCTTTCTGCTTGTCCATTTGACTGTGGGTGGTAAGGTGGGGAGCGGAAATGCTTGATTGATAGGCGTTTGCAAAATTCTTGAAATTGGCTTGAGGTGAATTGCGAACCGTTGTCGGAAACGATTATATCCGATAACCCATTGCGAGAGAACATCTCTGTCAACAGTTGCATCGTTTGGGTTGTCGTTGGTGGCATGACGGGAACGATTTCTGGCCATTTCGAAAAGGCGTCAACAACGACTAGATAGGTGATTCCATTATTTGGGCCTGCGAAATTGACATGTATCCTGGACCAGGCATACTCAGGCTGTGGCCATGGGACTGGTAGTATTTTCGCGTTACACTTAGCTGCTTGCTGACATTGTGTGCATTTGCTTACTAAATCCACGATATGTTGGTCCATGAGGGGCCAATAAGCATAGCTTCTGGCGATGGATTTCATTCGTTTTATACCAGGATGACCAGTGTGGAATTGCTTTAGCACCCTTGATCTTAAGGACTTTGGTACCAATACTCTATCTCCAAACATCAAGCATTCGTTTACGACGCATAATGAGTCCCGACGGTGGTAAAGCTGTTTCAAGTCACCATCGAGTCCAGTCGGCGGCCAGCCATTAGTGACGTATTTCATCGCTCTCTTTATGATGGAGTCGTTCTTGGATGCAGATTGTATTTCAGCTGCTGAGACTGACAAAGCACGAATAGCAGTTGTCAGGTAGCACTGCGCGCGGTCCTCTGTCATTAGGAAGGCACTAACTGCATCTTCGCCGGCCGTATGGTGTTCGCTGGTTGAAAACTCCGTCAGTAGTTTTTTCGAATATGTTTCAGGTTCATGAGATTGTTTCATCAGATGGCATACGGTGCTCAAAGGAACGTCAGCTAAACATAACCGGTCAAAACAGTCTAATCCAAGTAGATTAAGATCAGCTGGTGTGATGTAACATACACCGGTAAACGTCGAATCGTGAAAAGACACTTTACAATCTAGTTGTCCCAACAAACATAGGTAATTACCGCATGCAGTTCGTTAATCAATAAGTTGATCGATGCGATAAAATTTAAAATATGAGTTTGGGGATCTATCGTCCCCAACAGTTTTATGTAGGAACTATATGAAATCAAGTGGGGAATGTTTCCTATACGAAAACAAGAGCGTCGTGAGGCAAGAAAAAACGTTAAATGCATTGATTCAAAGTGTTTTCGTTATCGAACCTGTAAAAATATTCGATAAGAAATTTTGATTTCAAGCTGGTTGTAACTCATCCGTTATACGTGACCTTCACGATTTCATGAATATATGGATTGAGTACGATTTTATAACAAAGAAATTTCAAAAGATGGAATTTTAGGATTTCACTTGTTGAACCGAAACAAATGTACATGAGGTACTTATCCGCTTGGTTAATGACAATTAACCAGTTGAGTGGATAGTATAGTATTTAGATTTTACCAGAGAATTCATCCGAAAACCTGGATATCAAAAAAACTATTATTGAAAATGAACAGAAAATCATATAAGATATGTGGTACTTTGTTTCACTAATATATATATATATATATATATATATATATATATATATATATATATATATATATATATATATAGGATATGGACTAAATATTCGTACACAGTAAACTCACTTTTCGACCAACATCCAGTTCATAAGTATGAATAGAGTATATGTCGTGATTATCTGGGTAGGCAAAAATAGGACGAACGCAGAATATTAGATACACAGTAATCATGGTTATCAGAAATGAAGAAATGCAGGTCGTTACAGATAAACAACGCCATACTTACGTGACACTGTCAATGTAACGAAAAGCAAAAGTCATAAAAGATGAATACACAAAACACGGCGGAATGAATATAATGTTAACTTTGAAAAGAAAACTGACTCCATCAACTAGTCGGACTTGTTCTGTGTAACTCAGTAATTTGTAACTCTACTATAGATAATTACACAGACTAACAGTAACAGTAAATAAATTTCACTAAATCCACTTATGTAGGAGAAGGTTAACTTGATAGCAAACTAATGTTCCAAAATCAAAACTACCAAATGAGTTGAAAATGATTACAGAAATTTATTTATTTAGAAGAATATGTGAACACATTTTGGTATAGTGTAGCAAAGATCTAAATAAAGTCAAGAGAATGAACCATGTGTACACACCATATGTAAAGTATCATGGAACAATGATAGTAGTAAAAGACTAGAAATAAGTAGTTCAGTAATAAACAAACGCAAATGAGAATAAAATAAGTAAAGGTCAGTTAATTAAGCATTAAATTATTGAGCTAAGAGAGAAATAAACATTTCCTTACGTTATTACCTCATTACGCAAGTTCTAACATAACTCGATAACCTTATATTTAAATAACCGAGCTTTATTGATTTTATTTTTGTACATAATCACATATAAGGCAGTCTGCTTGAATATCTGGGCTACCTGTCCCTGCCATCTGGATATTTCAACAATTTATCTGTTTTCTTGCTTGCTTTAACACATCATTACGCCTATTAGTCTCATAATCTATTCAGGTGTGTTTGTGAAAAGTTTACGACATTTCGCTGTACAAGTCACAAAAGAGACATCGTGGTTGCTAGCAATATGCAGTGAAAAGAATATACAGTATTCAGATGTAGATCCCTGTACTACTAACACCTAAATGGCGACCAATCAATACTTATCGCAAGGACCGGCCAAGAAATAAAGAAAGAAAACTAGTTGAAATACGTTGTACTGAGAATTTTATATTGTACCAAAAATATAATATTGAATAGAACTAATAATAATAATAGTAATGTGTACAAAACCAACCAATGATGATTAAAGTACATGGTTTCCAAATGTCGTAGTTTGTCCAGGTGTATATCAGCAATAACACTCATACAAAAATTGTTTCAAAGACAAGTACAAAAACTTGTACTCATTAAATGAGTAGTATTATTACTACTTAACTTCGGATAACATATGTTAACTGAACTGAACAATAGCACTGAAAACATAACCTCAATGAAAGGAGGACCATTAAGAGCTTAATTTTATGACACCTTATCCCACACCCCATGTTCACCTCAATCTTATAAAACATGAAAACCTTTATAACGACTAAGCATGGATAGAAAAAATCTGGTATATGCGACCGAATTATAGCCAAATAGGCTGTTTCGTATTAATTGTATTAATATTTGTTTTCAAGTTGAAGACAATGATGTGGTGGTTCCTTAGTCTAATCATGAATCAAATCACTTTTTACTTTATATTTTCACTTATTTTTATGCCTATTTGTTTGTTAAACTTTCTTTTTAACTAGATTACTGTATACATAACATTGAAATATTTGTTTTCCCATTTTATCCTGAAATAATCATTCCATCATAACTTATTGCACTTAATTAATTGTAGAGTATTCAAAGCTGAATTTTTAAGCACTTCACATAGTTATTTGATAAGACAGTACTAATCATAATATTTGTAAATAATGCTCATATTCTACATATTTGATAGTAATGTCATATCAAATAATGTGTAAAAAAACTGGTACTGAAGTTATGTGTACTTTAGTCAGACAAGAAAATGGAACTAGTACTGATAAATTATTATTGAAAACAGTTCACAATGTGAATCAAAGAGATTACAATTTGTTAAATTAGATGTTTGTTGTCAGTTCATAAATTATTCAGCGAAGTAAACTGAAAACCAACCGATCAAACAGTTCAGCAAAAATGGAGAAGAATGGTTTACAAAAGTTGATTTGTGTAATCAACTGAGCAACCTTAAAAGAATAGCGTAGGAACCCATTAAGTCCCTCGACTGTCGAAAATTTCTCAGAATTTTTAGATAAATGAAGAACTACTGAGATATAGAAGATTGGTTCAACTCCTGAACCAATTTTTCCTGTATTTACATCTCAGTGAATGTATATAATCTATTTAGAAAGAAATTCACACAAGATTTTTAAAAAGTCAAGGTATATTTTAGCCCTAGTAATTGAAACAATGTTATATTACCTGAAAGGTCACCAGTAGCGGCTGAGATTCCAATAAAATAGCCAGTAGGTAAACGTACTCCGTCAACTGTGAAACAGTCTACAGGATCTGTAGCACCTTGATATTTCAAAGAAACCTGAAGATCGAGAAATCCCATACGTAGTAAACAAACTTGTCATATACCAAACATCAGAAAAAAACATAGTTCAAAATATACAACAATCTCAAGTTTTTGGCACAAAAAAGTAATACATCAGTCATATTGTCACCACCAACAATCTGCATGTGTCATAACTGATTAATTATACACTTTATTAAGACGACTAAGTTAGGGAATTACTTTATTTCTTATCTAATATTTTTCCACAAATTTTCTCTAAGTAGAGACATCAGTTGCATGGACATGTGTCCCAAATAAGTTATAGATTATGTTTGTTTAGAAAGCAGAAGTTATTGTGAATAGTTAGCGTCAAAAATAACCCTTAGTGGATAAACAGTAAGTTCATGAGACGCAAATCCAAGGTTTTTTAGTTTATGGTAAAACCTATGATCAGTAAATGATAAAAATGATATTAAACTATGTTTTATCAGTGAATGTAACATGGTAGGGTTGTGGTACCTAAGCTAAAAATCTACAGCAACTGATCTATTAAGTCCTACGGACGGAGGTAAAATTAAGATAACAGGACATCTAAAGTGCGTGATAGGAAGTGCTCTATAATAAAAGATTGTAAATAAAATCGAAAAGTAACTATTTTTGATTGAAGTTTTCTAAAGAACTGGTTGCTATTGAGTTTAATTGACACAAGTATAGATCATGGGCTAAGTTTACAACAACGTATTTAGTTATCATGACACATTTTGAGAGTATGTTATCCGAGTCTACAATAAGTGTCAAAACATGGAAATAAGCCAATCCTACTGTACTTACACACTTATGCAGAAAAACATTCAGTTAAAATGCTAACCTTTAACTGGTTATTAGCGTAACGAATTGTGGCCATTGAGTAGTCATTATTACGAAAATTAGATGAACAACCAGATAATTCAGTTAAAGTTCCATCCTTATCATGGTCATAGTGTTTAGATCCATCGTTAATCATTGCACTGACATAAGGATGCTCATGACTATGCTCACCATTTTGATTAGCGTAAGTATCAAAGAAAACGGCCAACCCACGGAACTTATCTCGACTACCGAATGCCGGCCCTATGAATAAACAAGTTTAATTAGCGAAAGGAATTTAAAATAGCATACCACTTGAAGGAGGATGTTGAGTATACCAGAAAGCAAATCCATCACCGACCAGAGTTTTGGGACTATGAACATGGAACAAAATAACCACCTCCCAATCACGAGCAAATAAGGGTTTTATATTGAAAATACCTCCTTGATTACTTTTTACATCGGAAGTTAGGCGTACAAACTGAGGTTCAATAATCGTTGATCCATAAGGTACCCAGTGAGCTATCAAAAAATTATATATATATATATAACGTTTAAGTGATATATAAGTAGAAATAATGATTGAATGTGAGTCACACCATTACTAGCCTTACTGCTTCAAATTCAAAACCGAAGAAGGGAAAACGTGATTTCTATTGAGATGATATGAAAACTACCTAAATCCTCAAGAATAGAAACCGATGAAATCCTACAAAACCATGAATTTATTCTGAATGAGGGATACTAAAACACTCAGACAATCACGGATGTATTCAATTATAGTATTAGGGTAATATCGTTCAAAACAAAATACTGTCTCAGCTAAAACACAAGACTTTATGGAAGGTTAGTAAAATAACGCATTTACTTCGCTAACGACATCTGAAATTATAGCCTTAGTAATAAGTTGGCAACAAATCTCCAACACAAAGGCACAAATTAAGACTAACTTGAGGGAGAATCTCACTGAAATCATGAACCGACTCAGTTAGACCACCACTGGAAACTTGGAAACACCGGACGGTTGTGTTCGTCCTAGTATGAGGGAAAATGTTTAAAAGTTTGAAAAATAAGGCTACTAAAATCTATTACAGTAAACTGTGATATGTAACATAAACTTTTAAACTAACGCGCGTGATGTTGTCAAAAAATTTGAGAAAACTCAGCTGGCAGAATATTTGTAACGGAAGTCACATTTTACCACTCCAATTGTTGTCAACTCTGCTTTCTCATATTTTGGAAGCGAGTACGGATGTTTGGGGAAATGGCTAACGATATGGGTGTGATAAAGGCCCTTTATCTTCTAAAATCAAATTCCCTGAGATGTAGCCTAGCAGTTTAATTTGGTTCTTAAATACTGAGCCAAAGGTTTTAGACCTTCCTTACTTTTATGCTTTCTGTACTTGTTTCCTTGTTTAAAGTACAGAACTTAAGAAGTGAAATAAGTCACCAAGTTGCATCGGTTTGACACTTTCTACAATTTCATGTCATTTCGATGTCAATAACTACGGTTGAACAGTTTGCTATATTCCAGTGGTTTTTGTATTTAAAGAGCTCTCTAAGCAACTTCAGGCTTTACTACCCTAGTTATACAATGATAGAAACGCACAACAATATAGCACGTACAAAAGGCACTATACATCTGACTACCAATGGAGAAATTAAAGATATGAAACTTTTAGTGAATAAACAGAGAAACAATCATGCACTACTTGAATGTTTGAAATTTCAATGCGGAAGTGTGAACTAATTTGTACCACAATTATCGGTTTTTAGTTCCATCATCTGAAGTTTAGAGCTATTTTTAATATTTATAAAGTTTGGGGAAACCTAATTTTGATAAATCGTTTACATGTGATTGATAAATAGTTACGGATTCTATGTAAATATTTGGTTTATTCAGACGAGATAAACTCAGTAACATCGAGAACTAGTGTTGTTGTTGTCTATTTGGCTTTACAAAATTCCATTTTCGCTGTCAGGACAGTAACGGCAGAGGAGGATCAAAGAAAAAAATGAAGTGGCCTACATACCTGAATTTTGTTCAATATTTTTAGTTTTCTTATAAAGAACAGTGTAAACCAAGTTAATCGGCATAACGATGACTTAAAGACGACTTTTCAACGATAGTCGAGTGGCCCCGATTACACCCTAACCACTGAGTAGGGTCAAAATATAATTACAAATCATTGAGGAATGAGGAGCTAGAAATTAGGATTGATAGGTAGGGTCAAGATTTCTACCACGAGCTGACATAACCAATAATCCCAAAATGCTATTTAAACAAATAGGTAAACAAATTTCAAACACGAACCCAGTAGATGCACTTAAATTATAGTAAAATGTTAACAGCTAATGACTGAGTCAATTTGCAACAGTACATAAACACCTCTATCCCTTGTGTTTGTGTACGTTAAAAAATTGTTTTTTATCCTGTTTGGTCTCTTGTAATCGTATTTTTAATGCCTGGTCATTTTGTCAGTTTATTTTTTTAAAATATCAAGGAATGGAACGTACTAATGAGCTTAAATACAGAATTTAAATGACCGGTTTTTAGTGTATCTTTTGTCACGGCCTCCATTTATGCCCCATTGCTGCTGTATTAAATTGTCGTGAGCGTTTACGACTGAAACGCAAAACGATGGTGGCCAGCAAGCAGCGTGTTTCGACCTAGTAACCAGTAACACTCTGCAATATTAACTGCGTTTCAGGCCGAAAAGTAAGCTTAGGCAACGTAAAAGTTGATTCCTGGAAATATATTATTTATAAAACCGCGTCGACATGGTTACAGAGTAGGATTATATTTGAGGTGATGAAGAGATTAAATCGAACAACACTGGAACTGTATCGGAACAATAAAAACAAGCAAAAGAAACCAATCGGTCTATACAATCTTATGAAAAAGACACGTATTCAGTACTGCATATTGAAATTCTTGATAACCCATATAGGGACGAGACAAAACTTTGAATAAATAAAAAAACTTACGGCTTGAATATGGAGGAACGAGTGAGTTATCTCTGATGTGGTAAGACGAATGTACTACATTGGAAAACGACAGGCAAAGAAGAATCACTAGCATTGCACGGACGTGCCGGAAAATTACAATTTCGCGCTGTGTGATATTCCTGATTGCAACAAACGAATCCAACTTTTTATTACATACAAATAAAAGGCTATGACCTTTTATTTGCAGAAAAAATCGGAAGGTACACGTTAATTTAGTATGATTGATTTTATGTACACCATTCTCTTGAGAACTGGTCAATCTACAAAGAAATGTATTTGTTAGTATGCTTTAGGAATCAAATAGTAAGTGAACGTTTTTGGCTTCATGGGTATCCCCCTTGACATTTAGTTTGAAGCCCAAAATTGTGTCTTCCGAGCCACTTAAAACTGCCTGGAATCAGATGAAAGGATTTTTCATGTTCACATCATTTTCACAGAATCCTATGCTTCACTCAGATCTGTGGTAGGTTAATTCAAAGACATTTAGGTTTTCTTTACTGTCAACGCTGCCGCAGACCTTACAAATAAAACTCACTCCCTGTTTCAGTAAGATCATGAGGACGTTTAGATGCTGGAGATCAGAAGTTTAAACTGTGTAGTGGTAAATAAATCCCCAAAATAAATAGCCCTAAGTTTTCGACATTGGATGCTGACCATATGTTTTAGTGGACTCATCTAGCTGAAGGCGCTCGGTCTTGCATCCGCACCAGATCACGTGTGGTAACGCTGTGCTTAACATCAACCGCAATCGCTAGCCAGATTAGATCAGAGAATCCCGATATATTGGTCATCGCCAAATATACTCTTCCGATCTCCTCGACTCTGTCTTTTGATTTCTCTGGGTGGGAACGAAATATATTAGAAGGTGTTACTGGTAGAAGCGTTGTCAAACACTGAATACCAGTGACATCATCATTGGTGAGCCCGACGTGATCTGGTACACCTAATTGCAACTGTGAGTCTGTTCCTTTTTGGGATTTTTATATATCATTGCCTTATTTTTTTATTTTTTTTAAACATTGTGATTTTTTTCGTGTTTTTCTTGGATATTTATATTTTTTCCTCTCGTTCATTATCGTACTTCATACTTCATCATGACCGAACAGACACCTAAAGTACTCAAGCTTAAGACTTTGTCCCCGCCTTCGTTTCAACTGATGCCTTTCTGGCCCGACAATATCGAAGCCTGGTTTTGCTACGCAGGAGCCGACTTCTCCGAGCACGGCGTGATCGACACACGTGCACGATTCCTCGCAGTAGTCAAGGCACTACCGCGCGAATTCAACAGGTACGTAACACCTAGTATGTTTACTAGTGATGTTTCCGATCCTTACGAAATCTTAAAACGCTCGATTCTTAAACGAGGAGATCTAACTGATCGACAAAGGTTAGATCAACTCTTCAATAACATCGACCTGCAACACGGTTCTGCGACGGACATGTTGTAACGGATGAGAGAGGTAATAGGCCCAAGAACTTTCGACGAAGGTCTATTCAAACAACTCTTCTTGTCAAAACTTCCCCAACAGGTGCAAGCAGTTCTGGTCTCGTTCCAGAACAACGCCTTAGACGAGCTAGCTGTATCTGCCGACCGCATTTTAGAAATTACGAAATCTACTACCGAGGTATTTTCAGTCAAAGAAAAACCTCAAACGACTCAGAATGATATAACCGACTTATGTCACACACTCACGCGTTATATTAGTCTTCGTACCGACCGTAAGAGATCGCGCACCCCACGTAGAAGCATTTCACGTAAGCGATCTGTCTCTAGACCACGAGAGACAGATAACCCCGACTGGTGCTGGTATCATAACCAGTATGGAAAGCTTTCCAGAAATTGCAGAAAACCCTGCAATTTTCCCAACACGAAACCGACTGATTCGAAAAGCAATTCGGGAAACTTCCAAGCCGGCACGCGTTAACGGCAACCGTAGCCGGCGAACAAAGCCGTCTGTTATTCGTCACAGATGTGACAACGAGAGTTCGCTACCTCGTCGACACTGGCGCAGAAGTTAGCGTTCTCCCAGCAAATCCTAACGACCGACTTCGCGAATCGACTCTAAACTTACAGGCGGCAAACGGAAAACCGATCGCTACGTATGGCAAAAGGTACGTTTACCTTAACGTGGGTTTACGCAAACCCATTCACTGGATTTTCGTTGTTGCAGATGTTTCTATGTCAATCATTGGTATGGACTTTCTACAACACCACAATCTGATCATCGACACTCGCAAACGGAGGCTAGTAGACGGAAACACTAATTTGTCCGTTTGCGTAACTTCCTTTACTGGTTGTAGAGTATCCCCAGTCACAGTTAAACATATGATAGACCCACTCTATCAACCACTACTCGATAAGTACCCTGGATACAACAAACTCAACCGAAACTGCCGTGTGTAACCAGCAATGTTACACATCACATCATGACTACAGGACCACCTGTATTCTCTAAAGCACGACGACTAGCTCCTGAAAAGCTAAGGTTAGCGAAAAACGAATTCGATCACATGATAGATTTAGGAATCATACGACCGTCAAATAGCCCTTATGCATCTCCGTTGCACATGGTCCCTAAAAAGGACAGCAACGATTGGCGTCCAACTGGTGATTATCGGCGATTGAACGCGAAAACCATTCCCGATCGTTACCCGTTGCCTCACATTCACGATTTGACAGCTACTTTGAAAGGTACAACTGTCTTTTCGAAAATCGACTTGGTTAAAGCGTATAACCAAATCCCTATGGCTACTGACGACATACCGAAAACAGCTATCATAACTCCTTTCGGACTCTATGAATTTTTGCGAATGCCTTTCGGTCTAAGGAATGCTGCTCAAACATTCCAAAGATTCATAGACGACGTTTTTCGAGGTCTCAACTTAATACACGCGTATGTTGATGACTGCCTAATCGCAAGTCCGGACAAAGAAACACATCTCAAGCATCTGGATCTTGTTTTCGAACGACTTCAAAAACATGGCATAACTGTAAACGTTCAGAAATGCCAATTCGGAACCGACTCGTTAGATTTCCTAGGACACACTATCGATGCTCAAGGCATTCGACCTCTTAGAACCAAAGTGGCGGCCATTCTGGATTACCCAGAACCGTCCACCGTCAAGCAATTACGCACGTTTAACGGCCTGGTAAGTTTCTATAGACGTTTCATACCGAAATGCGCATTCCTCATGAAACCTCTGACCGACCAACTTCGTGGAAATGCGAAATCCATTAATTTTGACGACAACGCACGAAAAGCATTCTCCACAGTTAAGGAACTGATTGCTAAAGCAACAATGCTCGCACATCAGGACACCCGAGCACCCATTAGCACCGCAGTAGACGCATCCGACTCAGCAATCGGAGGAGTCTTACAACAATGGGTTAACAACTCCTGGCAACCCTTGGCATTTTTCTCTAGAAGGTTGCTAGACACCGAATCGAGGTACAGCACATTCGGTAGGGAACTCCTAGCTATGTATTGTGCTGTACGGCATTTTCAACACTACATCGAAGGTCGTGAATTCACTCTTTTCACTGACCATAAGCCACTCACCTTCTCTCTAAGCTCTCCTTCAGACAAGTACTCTCCTCGTGAGTCTCGACAACTGGACTACATTTCGCAGTTTACTTCAGACATTCAACACATCTCTGGAGCAAACAATGTAGTTGCAGACGCCTATTCTCGCATAACTTCCTTGAACAGTTTCCAAGGAATCGACCTTCTTAAACTCGCCCAGCTTCAAAAAGAAGACAGTGATCTTCAGCACGAGTTATCGTCCACAACACCTAAACTACGCATCAAACAGATGGGAACAGTTAAGGAAACCTTACTTTGTGACACATCTACAGGTAGGGATCGCCAAATCGTGCCGAAACGTTATTGACGCAATGTCTTCAATACATTGCACAAACTTTCTCATCCAGGTGTTCGTGCAACCATCAAGCTTATAGCAGAACGGTTTTGCTGGCGTGGAATGAATAAAGACGTGAGGGAGTGGGCACGCTCCTGTGTAAGCTGCCAAAAATCTAAGGTTATCAGACACAATAAATGTCCCTTAGGCTCGTTTAAAACTCCCGATGCTCGTTTCGACCATGTTCATCTGGATTTGGTAGGACCTTTACCAGATTCAAATGGATACTCTTATCTCTTAACCTGCGTAGACCGTTTCACTCGATGGCCAGAAGCAGTACCTATCAAGGACATCACTGCTGAAACAGTTGGCCCACACCTTCGTTGAACGATGGGTAGCAAACTTCGGTTGCCCTTCAATCATCACTACAGACCGCGGACGTCAGTTTGAATCCGATCTTTTCCGTCGTCTGACCACACTTTTAGGAATCACTCGCTTCCGAACGACTGCCTACCATCCACAAGCAAACGGGTTGGTAGAACGTTTTCACCGACAACTGAAAGCTTCACTATCAGCTGCAAACGTTTCACAGTGGACCGACGCTCTTCCACTCGTCTTACTAGGTATCCGCAATGCAGTGAAAGCTGACATTGGATGCACTGCGGCTCAACTCCTTTATGGAACGACACTTCGACTTCCAGGAGAATTCGTGGATCCTTCATCCTCTTCAATGAACATGGATCTAACCTCCTACACGAACAGGCTTACAAACGCAATGCGTTCAGTTAAACCTGCTTCCACTCGACCTCAATCAACTGATGTTTTCGTTCAACCTGACTTACGATATAGTACACACGTTTTCGTTCGTCGAGACTCGCATCGACGACCATTCGAATCAGCATACGAAGGACCCTTCAAAGTTCTTCAACGTGAATCTAAGTACTATATAGTCGATAAGAACGGAACCAACGATAGCGTCAGTATCGATCGCCTCAAAGCAGCGTACTTAGAAGGAAATCCTATCTACGTCGATTTTCCTTCGTTACAATCAAACGACACGACTCCACTCGTAATTCCTCAACCGACAACCAATACTAGCAATGATACTCCGCATGTATCTGAAAATAAACCTAAAACGACGCGTTTTAGAAGAAGAGTAAGATTTCCAGAACATTTAAACGACTACTGCACGTAAAGCACTAATCGACATTTCAT